GCCCCGCCCCGCACGTCCCGTTGGTGCCCAGCAACCTTCCTGTAGGTCAGAACGCTGTTAACATCCAGCCGCCGCCGTCGCAACCTATCATTGTTTCCCACAGACTCCCTCTCAACAATTCTGTGGGGGCCCTAAACAGAGCCGTGGCCCCTGCAGTTCTCCCGCTTAATCCACCCGTGAGGCCTGGGCTTTTCCCCATCAACCAGCCCATTGGTGCTATAAGTGCTCCCGTGGCAGCTGGAGCTGTGCCTGTGGCGCAGCCTGTTAGCCCCATCAACCAGCCGGTCGCACCAGGAGTTCTTGCCGTGAACCCCTCGCCGGGCACTGTGAACAGGCCCCTGGGTCCCCGGGTGCTGCCTGTGGCGCAGACTGTTGCCTCGGGCGTTCTCCAGCTCAACCAGCCCGTTGCGCCTGGCGTGGTTCCCGTGAGGCAGCCTGTCAGGCCGGGCTTCCTTCAGCTCAACCAGCCTGTCGACCCGGGCACGATCCCTGTGAACCAGCCGGTGAGACCTGCCGTGTCCCAGAACGCAGCTTTCCTGACTGCGGGGCCTATCCTGAGGCAGCTGATTCCCACCGGCAAGCCCCGTGGTGGTGGCGTCGCAGAGCGCTGCCCTGCAGGCCTCGCCGCCCGCGCCCGACGCCAGCCCCGCTGTCAAGCAGGCCAAGCAGTGGAAGACCTGCCCCGTTTGCAGTGAGCTCTTCCCATCCAACGTCTACCAGGTGCACATGGAGGTGGCTCACAAGCATGGCGAGATAAAGGTCGAGGAAAACCTGGAGCCCGACAGGCTTGCGGCTTGCGCGCCGTTCTTGAGGTGGATGACGGAAAAGACTGTACGGTGCTTGTCCTGCAAGTGTTTCCTGTGTGAAGAAGAGCTCATGAAACACCTCCTGATGCATGGTTTAGCTTGCTTGTTTTGCACACGTATTTTCCATGACTTAAAAAGCCTTGTGGAGCACAGTAAGACTAAACATATTGGGAAGAAGAAAGTACGTGTGGATTACAGCAACAGAGGATTCCAGCTTGATAATGATGCTCAGGGCAACCTTCTATTTCCACGCTTTGATTTCAGTACAGTGTTACCAAAAGAAGAGATTGGGGAAAATGAAGTCTATCTGGCAGTGCTTGCGGGAATAAGTGCAAGGACCCTTGTCCCCATTTACATCAAAGTGACGCCTCAGACAGCGGAAGGGAAAACCTGGTGCAACAAAGTGTTTACGTGTCCCTTTTGCTTTGGTAAATTCTCTGAAGACTGCTACGAGATGCATTTGAAGGAGAGGCATCACGTAATGCCGACTGTCCATACGATTTTGAAGTCTCCTGCTTTCAAGTGCATCCACTGCTGCGGCGTGTACACTGGAAACATGACCCTCACGGCCATTGCTGTGCACTTGCTGCGCTGCAGAAGTGCTCCCAAAGACAGCAACTCCAGCATGAAGATGCAGCTGGAGCGCAGCGAGAAGAAGGAGCCGCTCTTCATAAACGGCGAGAACGTGGCGCTCAAGAGGAAGCAGCCCGAAAGCTGCAGCTTCACGGAAGACCAAACGAGCAGGGAGCAGCAGCCGCACGCGTTAAGTTCTGGCCTGGCTCTGTCTTCAGGCAAGGAAGGGAGTTCGGGGGTAGTGCCTTTCAAGCGACACAAGACCCATGCTAGGAGCGAGCTGAGGAAACTTCTGTATTCTAACGACGATCTCCGCACTCTCGCTGTAGATCCGCAGCAGTACGATCACAGGTCGTACGAGGGTCAGAAACAGTTCTTGACAGACTACTTTCACAAGAGGCCATATCCTACGAAAAGAGAAATGGAGTTGCTGTCCGCAGTGCTGTGTGTCCCCAAGGTGGATGTTGCCACCTTCTTTGGGAAAAAGAGGAGCGTGTGCTTAAGGGCGATAAAAAGCCACAGTCCCTCAGTGCTGCTGGGTTTCAGTGTTTCTGAGCTGAAAAATGTTAAGCACAGTTTGAGTATAAAAGATGAACCCTTAGATATGTAAGAGGTTTTTAAAACAACTAAAGGCAATCCGTAATTGCATACTTATCAGTTTAGCCATTTATTGTACTTGAGTTATTTGTTTTAACTTGCAGACTGGCCTCTTGAAGGGTTGCTGTAGCATAAAGGTCTCACTCAGTTGTGACTGTTATTGTGAAAGACACACGTAGTTGTGTATTTGCAAAAGCTAAAACCTTCAGATTTACACTTCTGGAATTTATTTTAGCTTTTTACATTTTCTGGAGTAGAACTTCTTTATTTTATTTTGTGTTTTGTGTTGGTGCTTTTTTTTCTTTTTTTTTCCTTCCCTTTCAGCCTCCCATTAGACTTTTTATACCACCATGTAAAACTTTTGTCCTGTTAAGAACATTTTTTTTTTGCAATGTCAACATTTTTTTTAAACAATAAAATGTATAATCTTGGTTAAAACACTGAGGTAAAGCTAGATGGAAAAACATCTATTTGATTATTTGTATTTTTTAACTCCCTATTTTTCCTTGTTTTCTTTCTACTTACGGAGGAAAGTGACTGTAAGCCTTTATGTCCCTTCAGTTTCTCTTTCTTCCTGTATCTCTCTCTTCCTCGCACCTCCCTTCCCGAATTCTGGATGCGCTGGTAGCAATAAAATACTTGATGGTCTCTCTTCCCCCTCAGTGCTAATACCTTTGCTGGTTAAACCTGGTGACTTGTAATTTCTACCTAGCCCTAATATGGAGGGCAAGAGAAGGCCTCTTATACACATTTCAAGTTAGTGAATATAACTTTATTATCTGTTAAACAGGTCTTGCTAAAGAGAAGTGTTAGCTGCTCTTGTTGGTGTTGAAGCCTGGTGGTTCATGTATCTGTTGTTCAACGTCGTCGCCAGGGTTCTTATTTCAGAAAGTAAAATCACTTGGAGAGCGGGTCAGACGGCTTTGATGTGCGGAGTACGCAACCTTGCTGCACGTAGCTGCTCTCTAGGAGTCCCCTCCAAGAACCGCTGAAGGCTGCTGGAGGGATCTGTGTGACCTCAGTTGCTCTCACCTAAGGTGGTGGCTGAGCAGCTCCCCCTCCGTAGCAGATCCCGGTTACCCGGCCCGCGCTCTCGGCTGGTCGGATGCAGCTCGAGCTGGATGAACCGGCACTTTCCGCTGCAGGTTTCCCTGGCCAGTGAGACTCGGGTACAGGAGGCAGATTTGTACTGCCCTAATAGAAAGTATAAAAAAAGAACTGAACAAAAACCAAGTAGGTGGTGTTGGTCAGTGCTGGCTAGCATCCCTGGTTTGGATTACATCCAAAAGGGCTACTTAGAAAACGTTGGTCAAAAGGTAATTGGAGGTTTACTGATGGCCCTCATCACTTGTTTAGTTTTATTCTCTGATTGCACTTGGTGTCAGTTGGCTTGTAAATATTGCCTCCAAAATTCACAAATACATGCTCAACACTTGTAATAAGCAACCTATAATATATATTTCTTTGTGCCCTTCCTCTTGCTTCCTGTTGCCATCTCCTCTAGAAGGAGGAGGAGGAGGCTGTCCTATCCGTTCACTTGTGCCAGCCTTACAAGGACAGGGTAACACATCCCAGTGTCTTTTCCCCCTCTTTCAGTGGTAAGCGTACTTTTGTCCTATGCAATGGAGGATTTTTAAAGCAGATAAAGATTTTTTTTTTCCTTTTTTGTGCTGTTTTTGAAAGGACATGATATTTGTAACAGACTTTGCTGCCTGGTTGTCTGTGGTTCTATAAGCTATTTAAATAATTTATTTTGGATACAATCTTGGTATTTTCCTATTGATCACTTCAGAGAGTTTTAATGTGTGTGTAATGCCCAGTGTCCTAAGCTGAGAGAATCTGCTTAAGTTATTTGATTAAAGAGTTATTTATTACCAGTCTTGAGGAAACATGAACATCTTTATGGGATCCCGCTCTCCCTTCCCAAAAGTGACAGAAAAAGCAGTGGACTCTCACAGCCTCACAGTAGCTCATTCATTCTCTTTTTTCCTTTCCCTTTTCTAAAGGCTTGGTTTTGTGAGCAGGTTTAGAGAGCTCTTAGTGAGGCAGTTCTGCGCGTTCAGTTTTGCTCCCGAGATGGCGATGCCGTGCGGCGGGTTTCCTCTGGAGCGGCAGCGCTGGGCTCGGCCGCGGCAGCAGGGAGGGCTGCAGGGCAGCGCGGGAGGATGGAGCGAGGAGCAGGGAGCGCTCCCTGGAGCGGGGAGGACCCTCACGCCGGGCGACACCGCCGCTCTCCCTCCGCTCCTTGCCCCTTCCCTGCAGCCGGCCGGCCCTCGCCCTTGGATTTCACGGTTTCAAATGAGCCTGGCTTCTAATTGAGGTGCGTGCGCACATGGGTCCCCTCTCTTTGAATATTCCGTGGATGTGACGGGAAAGTTTCTTCTTGGTTCAGAAAAATCTATTAAAAGACACAAAAGGAAAATTATACCGAAAATCCAGATTCTGCTGCTTGAGGTAGAGCTTGAAAAATGAATGTGTGAAGTAGAGCTCTGCAGTCATCTCTAGTATTATCACAAATGCTGATAGCTGCATTTTTTTAATATAAAATGATATCCTTAATTCTTTGTGTTGATTTGCTGATCATTCATTAAATGAGGGGTGTCAACACAGACAAAAAGAGGTGGATTTTGAAATGTGGAAAGAAAAAAAAGTGAGGAATCAAAAACGCCTGTGGAATGGTGTGGTTATGGATTCAGAAGAGCCAAAGCTGCTGCAAAAAGCCAAGTTAAATTAGCGGCCTTACCCAAAATAGACCTTTTCCTGTAGGCGACCTGTGAAGCTATTGAGTTGGAAAGGGTTAGCTGGGAAAGGCGGAGCTGCCCCTCCTTGCAGGACACTCCCGGGCCCTTCCATAGGGAAGGATCCTGACCCCAGGATCTCCTCCTGCGGGAGGGACGGGGATCTGCCCAGCGAGCAGCCGTCCTGCAGGCCCCTCCTTGCGCACGCGGAGGTGGCTCTGCTCCCTTATGGAGAAGAGCTGGTCACAGGGCAGCAGCAACACGTATTTGTTCCTTATGGGCATTAAAACATACCTTTAGGTCTTCTGCTGCTGTAATTCGTGGGGCTGGAGGAATGTTTGGGAAATATTTTGTTGTGGTGTCTGAGCTTTACAGCAGGAAAACTGTATGTGTGTAAGTTTATTATTTCAGCGGTAACAGGGGAAAAAAATACTACTGTAATGTTACCTGGTCATGTCTCTTCTGTATACATCCATGTGCTGCGGTTTAAGTTAATACTGTTTTGGAAAATTGACTTTATATTTTTGGAGGTTGCAAAAATGAATGTTCTTCTTGATTTTTCAATAGTTTTTGTGTCAAATATTGAGTAGTTTGTAGCCTCAAACTTTTTTCCTTCACTGTTTTAAATGCTGAGCAAAGTTTAGAGGGTTATTTAAGCACCTCTTTAATGTAACTTAAGATATGCAACTCCAACAGATGACCTTGTAAACTGTTAACTCTGTACTCAGCTCTTCATTTACAAACATTCATTTGTCAACACTTAACAATGAGTACCTTCTTCCAGGGAAACAGTACTTGAAGTAGCCAAGTTTGGATACACACTAGAGAGGAGGAAAAAAAAAAAAAAAAAAAGGCATTATGCTAGCAAGAGAAAAAAACAGACCAGCCCCTTCCAGAAATGTGCAAGCTGCTTTTGAAGGTCAGAAGAGCTTAGCCCTCCCGCATGGCGTGCACGAGGAGGACAGCACGCGGCCTCCGGGGATGGGGGGGGGGGGCGCTGCTGCCCTGGGCTCTGCGCCAGCTGCCCCTCCTGCCGTGGCCTCGCGCCGCGCTCGGGCTCGCACAGGCGCGCGGCGAGGGCACGGGTGTTGCCCTTGTTGTTCCTGTACTAGAGGACAGATGTGCAAGGCCTTGGTCCATGCACAAAGCCAAGTCCTTAGTCCATGTACTTTGTAGCCAAAGTTCTTGGCTTTGAACTTCTTGTGTTTAGGACTGCACATCAGAATGGCCCGTGAGGCATGTGTTGCACTGTCCCATATGAGTGAGAAGAACGTGATTCGGTTAGTATCAGGAACATAAACTGGATGCCCAGCTTCACATAAACTGTATAACTTACGCCTAGCTGTATAATGCATTGGCATGGTATTCTCCCTAGTGGCCTCTTGAAAAGCACCAGGGTATTTAACTCATCTTGGAATCAAGGGAAGGTAGAGCCTTCTGAAAATACCAGCTTTATTTTGGCTGCTCTGTTAAATGGGGAAAACAGCAGTTCTCACATACACCCTCTGGTTGAGAGAGATGTTTTAGAGCAGTGTTGCCAGTCTGCTGTACACGGGACCATATATGAGATGAGGCTCTCTCTGCCAAGGGCAATAGTGGCTCCGTTTGGTGCTCTCATGATCCACAGAGCTACATGTGCCGTGATGGTGCCCTCAGCAGCCCGTGTTAGCAGCGCTAGAAGGCAAAGCACAGAGCCATGTGGTGCAGCTGCATCTACTGCTGATTGGCTTGCTGCTCCCGCAGTAGCGTTCCTTTAAGACAGTTCTTGGGACTGAGCCTATTTATCAATTTTAGTGGTATTTGCTGCTTGCTGGGTGTCTTTGTCGGCTCTCCTGGAGAAGAACGGGAGATGATCTCATGGCGGTGATAAATGTGCCCATTAGAGATGAGGTAAGAAAAATGAGAGGTACTTGAAGAACTTGTCTCCTAGGATTTTAATACCTCATGGTTATGGATTTTATTTTTTTTAATGATGTCAGCTATTATTTTTTATCAGGTGGAAATGGGAGATGAAGTGCGTGTATGATGTGCTGGCGGCTCGGTCGCCCTGCGGGCCGTGTGACGTGGCTGCGAGGGGGGCAAGGCCGGGCGCTTGCCTCAGGGGACAGGAAGGGGCGGCTGGAGCTGAGCGCTGCCTCGAGGCCTCACCTGAGCTTCCAACTGCGTCGGCTCCTGCAGCCCTCCTTGCTGGGAAGGAGGATCTCGGCTTGGTCGATGCACAGGAGGGCTGTGACCTTGCTCAGCTTGTGACCAAGCTAAAGACTTAATTTCCCATGTTTTAACCGAACGAAAGAAAAGTCAATAGATGATTTATTGGTGTAGGCTGGCCTACCCTACTGTTGCTAATTGAGATAAATGGTAATGTTAGCACAGACACAGCTAAGCACTGACCGCAGTGTGTTCAGAGCAAGGGCACAGGAAAAAGAAACCTCACTTGAGGGAGGCTGAAGCAGTGAGTGCAGGTTTGGCAACAAAGTGCCGATGTTGAGAACACCACAAAGTGTTTTAGTTTTTGAAAGGCAGTAGGTGAGATGGCTGCGTGCACTAGAATGGGGCTGCAGTCTTCTCCTCTAGGCCCTTGCTTTGGGTTTCTGTGAGTGCTTCTAACAATGGCATCTGCGGGCAAAGCAGCAGCTCTCCAAAGCCCACCTGAAGACCGTGACAGCCTTTGCAGTGATATGGTCTGAGGTGAAGACCAGTGCCCTGTCTGGCTGTGCTTGGAGGTCTGGCTTGACACATTTCTCCTATGGGTGTGCAGGGGTTGCGTGCAAGGCGCAGCGCAGCAGGCTGGGAAGGGAGAGCGGGCAGGAGCTGCGCACACGCGTCCGCAACACCTGGAAGCAAGGGCTGCCTTGTAACGGCTGCAGGAAAGGCTGGGGCTGGTGCTGCTCCACGTGTGCAGCCGAGGAGGGAGAGCCGGCACCGGCTCACAGCCTCCTTCCAGTGCGCTGCACCGCGGCTCCCGTAAGGAAGACACCAGCGTGGAGGGATGCCTCAGGCCAGCTGCCTCCGAGCTCTGAACGAGGGTGCGGGCGAACAGGCATCACTGCGCTGTGCCTGAGGCAGCTGAGGAGCAGCTCCGTGTAGCCCGTGCCTGTATTTGTGGGGAGGGGGGCAGTTCTGCAGAATTAGTCTGCAGGGGCGAGAGCTCCGTCACCTCAGTGAGAGCTGGGAAAGTTACCAGAAAGTTTAAGCAGGAAAAATCTTTACTGTTTCCCAGGAGTCTTGGGATAGCCTGGTGTCCTGGACGGGAAGGAGAGGGGCTCGTGTCAGCGGAGGGCAGGCCAGTTGCCCACAAGCTGGAGGAGCTGCCGGGCTGTTCCTGCGCGCTGAGCTTGTGCTGCTGGGCTCTGCACAGAGCCCTTCCACGCTTTGCGTCCCAGAAAGCCCGGCCCCCAAGGCCGCCTCATGCATGGGGGCTATGAAGGCTTCCAAAAATAACCTGAAGATTTAACTTACATAATTTATGTAAAATATATAACATCAATATGGATTTTAATAAAGCTATTCTCAAAACTTGCACCTTTAATTCTGAAGAATGTGTTAGTTTTTACAGGTCGGATTGAAAAGAACAGCCCCCTAACCTCTCCCTCACTAACCTTGAACCTTTCAACTTGATTTAATTCTACTAATCAAAATATACAGCAAAAATCATTTTCTTGAAATGGGAGTATCTGTATCAACCTAAGCTGCACCTACAGCCTGGGTGAGGTCAGTTGCTCATAGAAATGCCCTAAACTGTTGGTGCTGAGTTCATACCTCCTAGGCACTGTCTTTGGAGCAGGGCCAGTGTTAACTCACCAAAGAATTTGCTGGTTTCATGGGATATTCATAGGAATCCTTGTGCCTTCCCTCACTGGATTTTCATGCTCTGGATGGGGCACTTGCATCTTCCTTAGAAATCAGGATTTTTCTTTGGGAAACCTATCACTATAATAACATCAGATTATTGTGATGTTACTGTTAGAAGATGGCTGGCTGGTGGGGGCCAAGCCTGCACCTTGCCTGCAAGTGGAACAAGTGGGATGAGAGATGGATTTTTGTTCTCTTGTTTTCCAAAGGAATCATAGAAATCTTGAAGGACTGCACAAGAAGTTTCAGCTAGAGGAGTTTACAAGCTGCAGGGAGAATCTGCCAAGCGCAGGAAAGGTAAGCTGTGCTGGAAATACTTCATTTTGATGAAAAGTCTCAGCAAGAAGATAAAACCTCCAAGTCTTTTTCTTTTTTTTCATGTTGCTAAATAAAAATACGTGGTTTGTACTTTCTGCTCACCTGTCTCAAGGAGTCTGAACTCATGCCCGACAGAGGAAGTGCAGAGCCGGAGGCCCCGGGAGCCAGGAAGGCTGCTCCAGAGCACGAGCCTGAGCTCCGCTCTGGGCAGTGCCGGCTGCTTTCCTACCCTGAGACCTAACGGGTCTGTGGCCATCGCAACAATCCGTATTTGTGAACACACGTATTCCAACAGCAGCAAGCGGGAGCAGCGCAGCAGGGCTGGAACACAGGTTAAGCTGTGAGGAGCAGCAGCAACAGGTCTCGCATGGCTTCTATCCAACTTCAACAGTGTCACTTCTTGGGGGCAGGGGGAAGCGGGATACATCACACATGCCTTGAGCAAGTGGGGTGACTCCAGTTAGAGAAACAGGTGCTCAAGAGAGGAGCTTGAGATGTAGCTGGAAAAAGCATTTAGTTGCCAAATTTGAATAAGGAGGGGAGTGAGAACCACAGAAGTGAATCAGGCACCTGAAGTTCACCCTTACCCTGTGGTGCAGCAGTTCTCCACATTGAGCCAGGGTAGAGGGGCAGAACCAGCAGCGCTGCGACAGGCAAGGGGCTGGCTCTTATTTGCATGCGTGTCTGCTAAACAAACACCACCTTGAACCCTCACCAGGCAGGGATTTCTCACTGCATCCAAGGATGTGATGGATGCAGGAGGTAAAAATACTTCAGTGGAGAAATACCGCCCGGGGTCAGCGTCGAGGAAGTATGATGGGGCAGGAGTGCCACACACAGGCAGACAGCTACAAACCACAGGGCACCCAACCTTCCCCCCCCCGCCCCTCACCTTAGTAAAAGATGTAAATGCGCATAGGCAGAAAACTAACTCCTAACTCCTGATTCTAGTTTGTCCTTGGATGCTATATAAAGCTACTGAAGTCAAAATGGATATTGTGTTTTCTATTGAAGCCACCCCAGACACTGTCAAATAGGGTAGAAAAAGACAAAAACAAGAATTCCACTTTAAGCTAAGAAAGGAGGGTATCTTCAGCTGAACTCCTGCCCTACTGCCTAAAACAGAAAAGGGCTAATCTACTTAACTATGAGTGTAATTTCTATAGCCTCTGATTTACCTGGCAGCAAGTAGTAGCAGTAACTAGGCATCACCCATAATGCAGTATACCATGCAGACTGAGGAAGTTGTGCTGTAGGTCAAACACTAGTCCAGAAGAAAGCTCTTCCCAGGGCCTTCATAACCACTGTATCCAAGTCAGTTCTTAGCTTTAATGACATCTGTTAACTTACAAGAGCTTTGGTAATCGTAGAGATAGAATTTTGCTGTGAATTTACAAGGGTCAGTTTTTTAAAATTTTACATGAGAGACCTTTGAAGTTCAGCTTGTTACACTGAAGCCCTTCAGCAGCCCAGCCCCTGTGCTTGGCTTGGCTTGCTCCCCTTTGCAGCTTCTATTCTCCTCATACAGCTGCAGGGGGCAAAGGCAGGGATTTCACACAGGGCTTTTCTCTTAATCTTACCCCCACTGGATGTATTTAAAAAAAAAAAAAAAAAACCCACACACCCCGACACCCTTCTGCCACAGCTATTTACACTGGCAGCAGCACGCAAATTACAGTGTTAAAAAGATTTTATATATAGAAAATTGTTTCCTATTCTGTCCCTATAGAAAAAGAAAAACCCTAGTGCAGAAGCATTCTTAACTTCCTTCCCCAATCTAGTCTGCAACGTTGCACTGTGGTTTAGGAAGACGTGAGCCAATGCACTTCAAGGTGATGTGCACACACCGCCTGGAGGAAGACGATGGCAATCCAACCATGGCAGCACTCAAATGCGGCTCCACTGAGGCTTTTGGCCCTTTTTGGCCCTGCTTTTGTTCACTTGGTTCCCCCTCTTCCAGCTGATTCTCGTTAAGCCCAAAGCAAAGATCACGAATAAGGTACTTCCTTTACACATGGAAAATAGTCTTCAGTCTTGAAGAGGGTTGGAGGCTCATAGAGGGTCTGCTGCTGTCGTGATGAAGCTGATTTCTGCAAATTAGATAAAGTTTATTTTTTGTCACCTTAAAAAGAACAAGTTCCACAATCAAGCTTGCAAAGCTAAAATGCAAAACCACAGGAGCTCTACAGGCATCCACAGCCAGGTGACTCTAATCACAGCTTAGACAGAGCCGGTATATTCTTAATGAAAGTGAAGAAAAAAAAACAGTTTTTGACTCCTTCCATCCCAGCCCACGGACAGGCTTGGTCTTACAAAGTGTAAAATGCCCCAGAGCTCTGCAAGAACCAAATTTGTTGTCTTCTCCAGCTCTCTAGTCACCGCGGCCTTCATACTTTCAAAGGCAAATAATTTTGCCTTTCCTGCTCCAGCCTTCAAGTTCCTCTGCTCCTTCCTTTGGTCTGACCACAACATCTATTTTCAGTTACTTAGTTAAGAGGGCGTTTATAGAGAACAAACCTGCAAAAAAAGCCTTTGGTTCAAGAAGGCTGCCTCTCCTGCTGAGCTTGTTCATCAAATCTGTTAGACTATGCATACTATGCCATAGAATTGAAAATAGCACAACAGGCATTTAGAAAAAATAAGCTGGAAAGTATGAACTTTATGTTGCTTTGCTGCACTAAACAGCTGATGTAAAAAGGCAAGAGTAAGGACCATTTTTGACAAATGTGTCAGTCTTTCTGCATGCGAGCACTGCTGCACTGCAACACAGAGGACGTGTCAATACAGTCTAAGGAAAGCCTTAGAAAATGGGGAGGAGGGGTGTCTGAGAATATACCATTTCTTTAATACACCCTTGTGCAGAGTTCTCAGTCAGTTTGCTCGCAGACTTCTTCAGGTACTTCTTGCTCTTTGCAAAAGGAGTCTTCACCAAAACTAAAAAAAAACGGAACTACTTGGACAACTCCTACAACTACCTGGACTTCAGAATGCTTTAACAGTGTCAATAAATAAGTACGCCTAGGAAACAGCTAAGTAGATTTTTTTTCTAGTATCTAGCTATGCTGAATACTTCTTGTATTCTATATGAAATAAACTTTTTTTTTCTAGTTTATATAAAATTTTATTCATAGCAGGAAGCTTTGACTTTCTAAAATTGTTGGATTTAGGGCATTTAAATTGCATTTAACCTTGACTTCCCCACATGCTTAACTCCTCTGAATTTTTTTGGCCATTGAAATTGTAATGAAATTTAAAGTATAAACAAAAATTAGGTCTGTTTAAAAATAGTAGGTTTTAGCTGTATTTTCTATATTGGAATTTTTGACAGACGTAACGATTCTTTGAAATTATCTCCTTCCTGCCTACATGCAAATATTGTACCTCTTCGGGCAATGCCGCAGAGCGTGTGAAGACATTTTCCCCTCTTCTCACACAGCGACATAGGAGAGGAAATAGTTTTAAAACGGAACTTTGCTTTCAGTCGCTGGAGGCCCTTCACAGCCAGGCACGGTGCTCAGAGTTGTCCAAGGACACCTCCTAGCATTAGGAATCTTACAGGGCTCAACTTCTCATTGCTTGCTGAGTACAAGGGCAGAATTTGGGGCAAAATCAGAAAGTGAGATTACAAACGCACTGTATCCTGTATGCGAAGGAACAGACAATTAGCTGGGAAGAGAGCAAGAGAATTTGACTGAGAATGTTGTAGGAGATCGGTGTAGCCCTTTCCAAAAGACTGATGTGTTATCTGAGCTAGTTAATGTTAAACAGGGCAAGAAATCTTCAAGCACCCACTGATTCAAAGAAGGAGCAGGAAGCTTTCTTCTTACCAACACAGAGCCTGTGTTTGCTCCCGAAAAGAGATACTTTCTCGGGAATATTCAGTTTCACTGTGGAACAGGGAACTGCCTCTACCTTACACAGTTAATACTCCTACATGCTGGGCATGTGTTTTATTGCTAGTCATGCTCAAACCAAGAAACTGTTGGATATGGATGTGCAAAGTCCAGCTTGGTGGCACTTTCAAAGACTTTCTACTTTACTGGCTGTGGAAAAGCTGATAACCTGCACAAAACATTCCCACTAACAATGCACTTTTCTAGAATTCCTTCTTTTTTTTTTCCACTTTAATTTGAAGCCATTAGTACAACTACTTTTAGTAACAAAAAGGAAAATACCATTGGTGATTTTTCAAAACTAAATCACAATCACCATTTTTTTGTAGCTTAGAAATAGCAGCTTTAGTTTTTTTTTTTTTTTAAAGTAAGAAAATTACTCTTGTATCACTCCAAACTTAAACACAAAAGAAAATGAGGCAGTGGGAAATTAACTAACTTGAAGCCTCTACAGACAGGAGCAGTAAGGAACAGGTTTCCTCAGCTGAGTCTTACTAAGATAATACATATACTTCCTTGCTACCTGTTTTTCTCTGATGCTTCAGTAGGTAAGAACACAAATACCTGAACTTGTTACAAAGTTGTTTTCATCTCCATCCCTCCACAAGCCTGCTTCACCTTTAGCACTATCACCAATACTATGAACTCT